CAATTATTCTAGCTGATCTTATGCAATTTAGTAATCGTTTAAAACAAGAAGGTGTTATTTAAGATTATTTAAATTGTTTCATTTATCATGATCATAGAAATTTGTAAACTTGCATTAAGAAAGATTAGTCTGCACTTGATTAGTCTAATATATGTTTTATTATATTGTTTTTAAAATGCTAATGTTTTTATACATAGACTGTATAAATAAATAGTTTAAGCCTATTATATCTAATTCATTAAATTTCGAATATTACTTCCGAAACCTCTTGCATTTAATTTCAATTTTTATTTGAAAAATTTCTTTTAAAGTACATCACTCTATGGGATATATAGCTATATGTTATACTTATATTATTCTAACGTTTTTTTATACATTAGGTAAAAGAATATTAGATAAAGCTACATAAATATATAAATATATACATTATGATAACATTTTAAATTATTTTTAAAGCACGTGTGCATGTACTTACGTGCGCACATCTGTAAAGAAAAACATATATACGAATATTTAGTTGAAGATGATATTAAAATTTTGGTTACCAGCAATTTAATATATTATGTATGACCATTTATATCTTTACATTAATACAGTAGATATCTATGTACTGTACCTTGAATTAATTACATACTGCATTCAGAATTTATTTAAAGTAGTAAAGGTAAAAATAATTTATTTTTTAAACATATTCTATTAAAATTGCGTTTTCTTTTAAATGATGTGCTTTCACGGCTAGATGAGTTAGTATAAATGTGTATAAATGCAATCACAACTGTACTGTACTTTGTATAACAAAAACGATCTACTACATAAGACTTTAAATGTCTTTTAAGTATGCGTACGAAACCATAATTAAGTTTTTTTAAATTTTTTAATGGCCAGATTATTTCAGTTATTAAATTTCTTAATTAATCGATATTTCTGATAAGGGTTTATAATGATACATTTAATTTTTAATAGATAACATTTTCTGACAAAAAATATTTTATAAAAATTTAGTTTGTATTGTATCTTATTGAAATTGAATTTTAATCGCTAAAAATTATCTGTAGATTAATTTAGTTGTATATAATTTCTTACTAATTAATTTATTTAAAAACATTTACCTTATTCATTGTCATGTTTATTTACATTTTGTATAAAAATTTGTAATATTATATTTTTTATTTCATAATTTAATTTATGGTTTTAATCAAATTAAAAATGAACGTTAATAATGAAATAGTAATTTATAAAAATATGAAAAATCCATTTGATAAATTAGTAGTATACGTAAAAAATGAATTATTTATTTATTTACACAGTTTTGCTTATAGTGAATAATTATATTTTAGTGTACCTTAATTATATATTAATAATTGAATTATATTAGAGTATTTATAATGTAATGCATTTATTTATATATTCATTTGTTACAATTCTACATTACTAATAAATATATAATTTAATTTGTGTTGTTTTATCGATACTAATTTTAAATGACTAATCTTTATTAACAAATAGTATATTTTACATGTCTATCAATCTTTTCTTTCTTATAATTTCTTCTACTTCATACTTATGATATATTTATTGTATATATACTTAATCCTTCATTTTTATAACGGATTGTATGACTTTGATGTTGATTTTTCATTATTAAAATTGATATAGAACGGCATTTATACCACTCAAAGCGGCTTGTTAGACTGTTTGGAAAGTTTGCTAAAGATATATACATAGTATTGCGTGACACCAGTTATACAATATTTGTTATTATCAATAATATTGTATTATATTCAAACGCACAAAGGCGTATTCGCAAACATTTAATGCATAATAGCATAGATATAGATACAGTCACCCACTCGTTTATATATACCCTTGCACGTACATCTGTATTTTTACAATTGTTTTTCATTAATTTCTTTTGACACCTTATTTTATGTTAACACTGAATATTTTCTGTGTTTTATTTTATTTTTTATATATCGATATAAATATGATCGTTTTTCAAGATATATAATTATTAATGCTATTTGTAAAATACATTGATAATTAATCGTAGATATTACCATTAGCTTTTACACAATTACTTTTTTGCTACGATGCAGATAAGGATCTTGCACTACAATAATAAAGTCAATTTGAGGAATTCTGAAACTCAATCAAAATCAATCATCGAATATATTTCTATAAAATTCAAAAATATTACATCTGAATATTCATTATATGATATTAATGCAACAATTGTACAAATTTTATTTAATAAAGAATAATAATATTAAAATAAATTAGTACCATTAACAAAGTGATAAAATAAAATTAATCGTCAAATCAATATATTAACTTCATTATGCTCATTCGTATTTTAATTATTTCATTGTGAATTTGCCCGTTTTTCTACTATAAATTAGAAATTAATCAAGTAGTAAGATCTAAATTCAATCGAATCGAATTCAATAAATAATTAAGATTTTTTATATTAAATAATATATCATATTAACCATATATAGTTTATAGTTAAAACATAATATTACGATGTGTATTTCATAGTACTTATTTATATGTTTGAATAAGCTGTTTTAAATATATCTATCATTAAGTATTATATATTTGTATTAAATGACAAGCCATTAGTATTTTGAGGAATGATTTAAAAATATTTATAATTAATATTTATAATAAACCAAAATAATAATTTGAAATATACAAAAAAATTTAATCTCACAATTTAGATTTTGAAAAGAAATTAAAAATATTATTTTGTAAACATTATTATTTTATAATGAACTATCATAGTCATGCACAAAAAATTGATGTAAATCTATAAATTTCTAGAGTTTTTAATGTATGAAAGTTTCCTTTTCTTATTTGATGTTAATGAGTCTCTTGAACTCTTCAAATTTATAATTTATCGTTATAATTTATTAATTACTGGTTGAACTATAAAAGGTATTTTTGTTGTATCTTATAGGAATTACATATTTTAAAATAGTTTAATTAAAATTATCTATTAAATATTATATTTGTGGTGAAATTTTATGTTATCTTATTTTAGTTCTTAAAAGTTATTTTAGTCTTTAAAATAAATTTTTTGTTCATACATTGTGCAATTTTTGTGTATAATTCCATTCTTATTAAATATTCGTCCATTTACTTTCGGTGAAGCCAATAATTATTAATGTTTTGTGGATTAAATGTAATGTTTTAATAATGTAGTTTCTAAATTGAAAGTTGATTCAATATTATAATAATTATGTTAAATTTCAGGAATCGCATGTTTTCTTAATATATAGCATTAATTAAGTAATGTCTTGCTTGTAATACGTTGAATTAGCGAAAACAAGTTTAATTAAATTTTACCTTACAAAACCTTACAATATAAGAATAAATTTTCAGTTAAAAAATAGTAAAATAAAATTTTTTTAAATATTTTTTGTTATAATTTTCTTTATATATTATATGTTATAGAAGTTTTAAATAATTTTTATTATTTTTAGTTATTACCATTAAATACAAATTATTGTTTCTTCTCATAATGAGAGGCAAAATTATATCAAAAGTAAAAGTTTTTGAATAACAATAATTATTAATTTTATGATTTATTACCATATTTCGCATCAATTATTTATTCGATTATTATAGCTGAAATATATATCATGTTAATAAAGAAGCCAATAAATAAAATAACAAAAGTAATTGATTTTTATTATCAAAAATATATTTGCTTTCTCGTAAAATATATATCAGTAATACAATTTGAGTACATTATTTACGAAATGCGAGAATGATGAGATTTATGCTGCTTTATAATATTATATGATGGATTTGTTGCAAGCAAAAATGAGAAAAATTACTTTCTGAAGATCATTTAGTTTTATTTGATGCAACAGAAAATAAAATATCATTCTTTGTCTTACTGAAACATGTAACAACTAGATGTTTCTACATTAATGAAATACGATATAACTTGCGTGAGCAATCAGTTATATATGTGCAATAATGAATAAAAATACTATTTGACAATATGCAGTCGCAGTAAAACATGTAATTGCACTCGCCTTGTAACTTTTACAATATTGTTTTGTTACCTATTATAATAGCTGTTAAACGTGTAGTATTATAGCACCGAGTATCGCAATTCTGTTAATCCATAATATAAACAATAATCTATTCTGTATACAAAGCGATATATTTTATATAAGTATAGATGTTTACACTTTTCCACTATTTCTCATATACTTTCTACTTATTTTATGTTTAACATAATGTACTTACTGCAACATAAAATTAATGCATTGTTTATATTACAGTGAGCAATTATAATTCACAGATCATTCTTATTTCATACATATCGTAGGCAATTTCGTCGTTGTAATAGATTATTTCAATTGCTGTTCATTATCTTTTTCATTATATAGTATAGAGACTTATAGATTATACAGTATATAACGAAGTACATGAAGTTGTTAAGAACTACGAAAGTATTGGAAAAAATAAATGGAGATCTAAGGCAAGAATAAGTAGTTTTTCATTTGGAATAACAGAATATTATGTTATATAAGCTGTATATTAATATATGTTATATCTCAATATTACTACTGAGATATATCATTTACTTCTTCTTGATGTTTAGAAAATTATGGAAATTAGCATCAAAGTTACAAAAGATCCTAATAACAATTGATGTAAAGTAGCAAATATGGTTATAATTGTTGGGTGGCGCAGACATTAAAATAAAACGGTAGCAGTTTATAGTGAATATCAGAATGAGAAATATAAAGAGTAGGTGAGTGTAATTGCGTATTTTACCGGAGGATAGTCAACGAGTTAGAGATCGCGGATTAAAACATGCAATGCAGCGCATTCAATTAATACTCGCGAAATATATGTATGCTGATGTATGCATAAATGTATGCATATACATGCATATATAGGTATATACATAAACATATATACACACATATATATATATATATATATATATATATATATATATATATATTTAGATATATAATACCTTTTGTGCGGGTAAAATTATTGGTGTGATTATGTATGTATATGCTTGGGTGTACGATAAATAAGTTCCTTAGTTAAAGCCAGCTGATCGCTTAGTAATGATGGTATGTGGGTTCGGCGCCTTGATGGGGAAGATGGCTGACCTTGGAGAGTTCTTCGGCGTAGGCGTGGAAGTGGGCAGCCTTGGCGTGAGCGACTTCGGCAGTATCGACGACGCGACCATCGTGAGCGAGGGGTGCCGGTGGTCCATGGTAGGCGTGATGTTCTGGCTCGGGGTGGCTGTAGGCAAGGCCGTGAGGTGCCGGTTGATGGTGGGAGATCTCGGGATGTTCTGGGAGAGCCGGGCTGTGGTAGGCCGTCTTCGAGAGCTCCTCATTGTAGGCGTGGAAGTGCGCGGCCTTTGCATGCGCCACTTCGGGGGTGTCGACCACACGACCGTCATGGGCCAGGGGAGCTAGGGGTCCGTGGTAGGGTTGGAAGGAATGTACATCCGGTGCGTGGTGGTAACCGGGTTTGGCGAGTACTGCCACCGCAAGGCTGGAGAAGACGATCTGAAACGAGAGTATCAGCTTAGACTGATGCACTTATTCGGAATGTTCTTATTATCGAACTGTTGATTATTATCAAAAGTCTTAATGCATTATGAAGTAAAATTTAATCATAATTAAAATATTAGATAAAAATAATTATAATATTTTTAAATATCATAATATTATAATTATACAGAACCTATAATGTGATAATAACCGGGATAAATGAAATTTCATTTCACCGTATCTCTGTGATAATGCAATATCTATTATTACATTAAAATAATGCGCTATATATATTATAAAAAAAAGTAACCATCTAACGATTATGATGATTCATGTAATATTCCACAAAAATAAGAGTATTTAGTGTTCAATTTTTTTTCATTAATAACAAATTATATTACATTTAAACATTTTCTTTTTTTTGTTTTTTATTTACATAAGTTTTTATTTGATAGTTAGCAAAATTTTAATATTCAGAAATTATGTACGAAAACTTTTAAAATAATTATAATTTTGTAATCTTCTCATATGTGAAATAATGTAAAATTATAATGTAAATGTAATTTGTATAATGTAAATGTAATTTTATAATTTTATAATTTTAAAGTATTATAATTTTGTAATCTTCTCATATCTGAAATAATGCTAAATAAATTTAGGAACTAATATATATATAGTCTGATTTTATAAAATGTATATATTTATTTGAAATAATCGGTCGATATACGTAAACCATTATTTTTAATCTTATTTAACATTTTATAACTTAATATGTAAAGATTATTATTTTCTATGGATTGATAAAATATAACATTTCAAATTTGCAAATGAAATAATTTCGTATAAATGATGTATTAATTTAATTATTGCAATATTATAATAATCGATGATTTATAATTATATTACAAGTTTAATATTTACATCTATTTTTATATAGTTGAATTATTTATTATTTGGGCTATAGAAAAATTTTATTTATTTATTAATTTACATTTAAAAATTATATGATAGACAAATAATATTGGACCGAGCTATTTTTAGAAATCTTTAAAATTTGTAGAATATTGTGTATTTAATTATCTAATTTTTTCTATTAATAATGTTGAAAAATGATATATGAAATTATATTTTGAGCTCTATTAATAGTGAAAATGATTTTTATAATAATAATATCTAGAATTATAAAATAAAATTTCTATAATTATAAAATATTTAAACATATATCATAAATAACCATAAATCAAATATATATATATATATATATATATATATATATATCTTGCCATAAAAATAATATTTAGTAAATTTATAAAATTACCATTTACTTTAATATGTATTTAATATCAATTGGCATAATTTATATTCGTGAAACTTTATTATAGAATATCAATATACAAAGTATAAAATATGACTTATTGTAAAATAATTCATAAAATGTAAAATATCAAGGGGCGTTAAAGACCGCAAGAAAAAGCTAATGCCCTGCCTTCTTAGTATACGAAGATTAAATCTGTATATAAAAAGTTAATTTTTCATTTTGCCACTGAATTGAATTATCTCACTTCATGACTTCACGTTCATAAGTATAGCTATAATATATAACATGACTTTGCCATCTCAGAGTTACGCCTTTTAAGCACAAACAATTTCACAGCGTATAAACTTTCGTCACGAGTTTTTTTTAAATACCATAATAAGTTCGATTACTTTGAGAAGACTTTATACAATACAAACAATATGATCTATAATATTTGTGTAATTATATTTATCTACAAGTAAAGAAACATGATTGATTCATAATACATTTATAATAATTTGAAATGCTTGCTATTATTATAAAGTAGCTCTATAATAAATCATGCAATAAAAAAATTTTTTTTAAGATTACAAATACAACTGATAAATAAAAATTTATTATTAAAAGAATTTTAATAACTAAATCTATTCTAAAATAAATATTTATATTTATTATTCTAATATTGTTCTTTTATTATTGTTATTATTATTACTACTACTATTATTATTGTTATTATTATTATATATTTTTTAATGCAGTTTATAGTAAATTTTAAATATTATAATAACGTTTTTTTAAATTGATCAGTTTTCGTTAAATTTCTCATTATATAACTTCGTTCTATTTACAGCATTACTGTATAATAATTAAATATTTCATTTAATAGTAAAGGGAAGATTAAATCAAAATATATTTTAAATATTCAAGTTGTTTAAAGAATTTGAGGTTGAAAATCTTAGAATTTACGTTTTCGCAGTCGTAAACATAAGTTTGAATAAAGCCCCGCATTTTTTATTATTAAACATATAACTTTTTTTATATGAGCAATTCTGTTAAGTATATTGATTAAAAAAATGTTCGAGATATATCAAACGAATAATTGAACCTAACTGGCAATGTAAAATAAAAGAAATCGGAAAGACTAGGAAATCGCTTGCGAGTGGAAGATCGTAAAAGCGCGCTTCCCAATTGCACGAGTGTGTATGTCTATAGATAAAAAGTATGTACGGAGGTTTACTCACGAGGAGCCTCATGTTCACTGGTTAGTTCAAGTCGCGTTCTACGGTGTTACGGCGTTTGCTATCACCTTATATAGCTCAGGAAACAATAAGGCGTATTCGCAGGCCCGCCGCCGTGAAAACTGTTGGTGCGGCTTGGCCCCCACCACCCTTACTCCCACCATGGACCGCCAAGTGCTGCAGGTGCAGTAGCAAAGGGAACGAATGCCCGGACAATCGACATGCTATACGTATCGCACTGATTTTCACGCACTAACGCGTCAACTCGCTCACGGCGCGTTTGGCAATTCCTGCCTGTCTCCGTGTCTTTGACGGAGCGCGGCTTATTCGCGTCCTTTAGATCTCGTGCGCGCTAATGGGACGAAAAAGATCAGCAAGAAAATGTATACTTAATTCATTTAGCGAGTAATTGAAGTGCCGATGGAAAAGAACTGAAAATTCCGGGAATTTAATTGAAAAAACTACGCTTGCAATTGATTCCGATTTTTATCAATCATATTGTATTAGCGCTTAATATATATGTTGATACTTCTTAATCATATAAACTATAAAATACAGACTTTATGCTACTATTATAAAGCAGTATCATTTATAAAGTAAGGAAATTGAGATTGGAGTTTTGAACTGCATATATAATTATGTGAAGATGTAAAATATAATAGTTAAATCGATTCAAATTGATTAAATCGTTCGAAATCGAAGAGATAATTTTTAACGAGTACGGTAACCATGTAATTTTAAATAAAATAGAATTTCTAAAAATACATTTACAACTTATTAATTTTTATTTTTTCGTCATTTTCTTTATGCACTACTTTTAGATAAATCAATTTCACAAGCAATAATCCATAGAAAATATTACCCTTAAAACCTTTTGTATACGTTTGCTAACAATTATAAAATAGTGATTTACAAACTCAGTGTTAAAATTTTCCTGGCATATAAATTACAATTTTCTCATTTTTGTAGCATCCATCGACACAGTTTGCTGCGATTACATCATACTTTTTATCACAATTTATTTAATAAAAATATTCCTAGGTAATTATAAAATAATTTGTATCTTAATTTCTTCTAACATCAATTTACATTACAATTTTTTAAATGTTTGTAATGCAATATGTTTTCTGTCCTGAATAGCTATTTTATTCGTAATAAATCTTCTATTTGTAGCTACTCGGTGAATATTGGAAATAGTTATAATTACTTCCTTAATTAGGTAATGTGAGAAATGGCATAATCGCTATATTTCGATATGGACATATATTTGACTAGAAAATCTGTTTCATTGAAAAGAAAATCTATTGGATGTAAATAAATATATTATTAAAATTTATAAAGTAATTTCTAATACAGATAAACGTTATTGTACATATACATCAATAAAAGCACTGTTTAACTATATAAAACCTAAACAACTTTATATTGATATAGAAATGAGGTTTCTTCTAATTCAATATTTTAATTTTAGATATAAACTAATGCACATTACATATATTTCTCTCACATAGATTAACACGATATAAACACAATATAAATACGATATAAATATTTAATTACACATAATTTATATTTTTTTAAATTTCATTTTTTAAAAGCAATATGAGAATAGAAAAATTGTTTGCATTTTGAATTAAATGCTTCATTTAAATATTTTTTATTTTTATTAAAAATATATTTATACACAAATATACGCACACATACGTATTTGTAAATATACGTAAATATATATAAAGGTATGCATCCAAATCATATATATGTTTATTATTCTAATGGTAGATTAAAACTATTTATTATTTAAATTTTTCTTTATTTAATTAGTATAGATTCAGTTATTTAAAAAACCCTTCTTAATACAAATCGAAACAAAATTTTTATTTCTAATTAAAATAAAGCAGAACTATGCATAAATTCGAATATAAATAGTTTATATATCAATGTAAAGTTTGTATTTTATATATATATATATATATATATATATATATATATATATATATTCATAAGATTTTGAGATAATTGTTATAATATATTTTGCAATACATGATTTTCATTTATTCGTTCAATACAAATATTTATGATTTGATCAATATTTTAAATTTATTATACTATATTATAAATAAATTTAGATTTATTTTTTGAAAATTTTAAATACTCTTTACGACATTGTAGTTTTGATATTTGCATGACTTTGTAAAATAGCATTGTAAAATAACATTTTATCGTTTAAAATTCAATAAGCGTATAAAGAATCATAGTAAGTTAGAGTTTTAACTCATAGACTTTCCAAAAAATCATTATATATGTTTGAATAATTTACACCATTTTTATCGGCTTATACCGTTATTGTAAACCGTTATATTTTAACGTTGTCAATTTTTAATTATAATAATAAAATAATAATAATACAAAAATTTTATTTTGATAATAATTTCTTTTTTGAATACAAATATTTATTTTCAAATTTTATATTCAAAGTAATTAAAAATATATGGCATATTTATATAATGATTTTCAATGTCTTCAATAATAATTTTGTTTATTTTATTGTACAACTTATTATGAAAAATTATAAATATATTTTTATATAGAATTTATTTATATTCCAAAGTTTTATTAATGGTTATAACATAGGAAACTTGGTTTAAACTAAGTAGATGATTTAGTAATTTCTTACGTAAACAATAAGGTCACGACTAAATATATTATAAATATACATTTTTAAAATTGAAATACGAGTGAAAATACATATAAAAATCTTGAAATATCTAAATTAAAAATAAAGTTGAAATTTTATTAAGTTTTTAATATTTATAATTAATAATAGGGAATTCATTTATTATTAAAAAAAGTATTCTACTGAATAATAATAGATAGGACAAAATATTAAATAATCAATTAAAAAATTTATTAAATATTTTATTAATATTTGTCTGTTTTCAATTAATCATTTTTGATAATTAAAATTACTATAATACATAATAATTCAATATATGCTGTATTTATAGAATATATACTTATATGGCTGAGTAATAATAGTTATAACATTACAGATATTAGAATGATAAAAAATACTTTCAATAGTAAAAATGTTGAATTCATGTTCATTATTAAATTTGTTAATATATATCAATTATTCGTCTTATTTTTATTGATTTGTTTTTTAATTTCATACTCAAGAATTGTGCTAAATTAAATTGAAAATTATACTTCAATTTAAAATAAATTAAATTTTTTAAATCAAACAAGAGTTGCAATAAAATTAATAGTTGTCCATATAGATTTTGAGTAATACAATTTAGTAATATACAGTTTCCTTTAGAAAATAAATTTAACTAAAATTTATAAGGTATTACTCTTTAATAATTAAATACTAATTAAGTTTGATATGTATTCCAGTATTATAAATAAATTTAATAATAAAAATAATCATATATTAATAAAATAATGTAATAAAATAATCCTAAGGATGTTAATTTATTTCAAGAAAAAATTTTAATGTGAAAATCTATGTTTTCTTTTCTTTGGATATTTAAATATTGAAAAAACTTATTGCCTTCTAAGATGTATATTTTTTTATTTTTGAAGTTTCATGTTACTAATTAATAGCAATCGGTACATATGTAAATATATTATTTAATAATACAGTATTATATAACTGTTTTATACAAGCTGTATTAATCGGAACCATTCACTATTATTTTCTTACTACAAGTTCGAAAAATATCTTTGATAATAAATTTTCTTTGTTTTTAGAAATGCAAAATTAATTATACTACTCATATACATGATTATAAAATAATCTGGTTTCGTATTCACTTTTATAAATGAATATATATTTTTATTTTTTTAATATTTATTATTTTAAAGTTTTGTACATAAAATGTATTTTATGAAAATACGAGCATTATGTTTTTAAATACGTGTTATAATTTTCAAACGAATAATATTTAACTAGAAATTAATGATGATTCATGTAAGCGTAATATAGATTAAAAATATAATTTCTATATAGCAAATGGGTACAAGTTCGTAAATAGCATCAATACATTACACTTATTTGATAAACATTATAATTAATTTTCACTAAAAGTACAATGCATATTATTATTTAGAGTTATATAAACGAAAATGTCTGACAAATATTTTTAAGTTAAAGGAATATGATTTTAAGACAATTTTCGTTTAATTAACATGAAATAGAAAAAAAAATTTTCTATTAGATTGTAAGAGAGAAAGTTCGAGAAATGGATATAAAATAAGTTTAACCGTATGTTTCATGCTAAAAATTGAGTGGACTCAAATGATTTTTTTTTATAATTACGTATGGGATTAAAAATTACATGTGCATGTATCTATAACTACGCTCACAGCCACCCACATAGAGATATGGGCACGAGTATGGGTAGATACGCGAAAATTTTTTTAATTAATTTATTTGTTTTTTTTTTATATGTGAAGTACATGCTCTTAATTCGATGAAAATTGAAATAATTAATCAAATTGAAGATTTATATTATTTTAATTTTACATTAAGAATTGATAATTTTGTGTGGAGAAAGTCAATGATCGCAGGCAAATAAGTCTAGAATAACTATAAAGAATGGACGCCAGTGGGTGTGATAGTGGAAAGGAAAAGGAGAAACTGAAAAAAGGCAAGTTTCGATAGGCCACCACTGTAAAAGCGAAATTATATCGCGCGTAGTTTTTGACGTGTGTGTATGAGCGGCCACAATTTTAGAAGTATGTTGAGTATGTAATACTAAGGAAGTAGTGGAATGTTTTGATGTAAGAAGGGTGCGAAAGTGGGCGCGTTCGCCCATACGTACGCCTTTGTAATATTGACGAAGTTGTGACCTCGTTTACATTTTATATGTATTTTTCATACAATGTCGATTGGCTTTTATTCACTTTGCACTCTATGCGCTTTTCGGGAATACCGCGAAAAGCGGAAATTATGGAGTTTTTTCGAGTAGGATATTTATTTAATTTATAACCGTAAGTCGCAGTTTTAAATAGAATTGGCAAAATACTAGGCGTTGCGTACATAGAAAACAGAAGTAATCAAGTAATTACTGCTACATA